AAAAAAAAAAGTGGTTGACCCCGACGTGATTTGAACACGCAACCTTCTGATCTGGAGTCAGACGCGCTACCGTTGCGCCACGGAGTCGTATAATGTTCTCTGCTTTTAGTGCAGTGATAGGTCTAGCCGTACACTTAAAATGGAGACGTAACACAACATTAAGTAATAATTATAGTAAAATAATATATGAATTTATACTTAAAATCTATCACATACCTCATTTGTGAGTAAAACACAGGCTAACACACCCAGAGACCACCAATCGACCTCCTGCCCATAATATTCCTTTTTCAGGATTTCAGGTGCTGAAAAAATGATGTGAGATTTGCATAAGTGTGACGAAACGTTACAGAAGTGTATTTTATATTGTATAATTAACCAATAATCTCAGCAAATTACTTTCAGCAAATTGGATGTATAAGGTGTATATGTGCTATTATGAATGTACATTTATATAATTATCTTACCCATATATTGGGGCGTTCCACAGAATGTGTTTGTTCGTTCTGTGCGATGCAACCATTTGGCCAAACCAAAGTCGATAATTACAGCATGGCCGTATTCATCGAGTAGAATATTGGTTGTTTTCAGATCTCTATGTACTACACCAGCATTATGTAGAAAATCTGTAACACGCGTTTTTGTATATAGATATCGAATTTTATACACGCTACTAATACAGAGTTATTGAAATTATTCTTATTCTTACCTATAGCTAAGGCAATTTCTGCCACATATATCCTAACTACTTTCTCAGGCAAACAGCCGTACTCGTTGACTAGTGAAAATAATTCTCCCCCAGAGATATAATTCATCACTGTAATATTAATTACATATTAGTGTCAGTTTGCTTAGAAAATTACATTAAAGGTTAAACGCTGTAATGATAGAAACATACGTATATACAATGTCTTCCTGCCTTGCCATCTGTGGACAGAATTTACTATGAAAGGATGATGTCCAACCATTCTCAGTATAGCTGCCTGTGAAAGTATGAAATGTCAAATCTCTCATTATCTCAAATCAATACATTTGTCAAAGCAGTATTGTCTCAGATGTGCACCCACCTCCTGCTTAGCTTGTCTGACACAATTTTCTGCCACGATCATGGCCTTACTGATCACCTTCAGTGCAAAAACCTGACCAGTTTCTTGTTTTTGCACTTTATATACTTGTCCATAAGCACCCTTAGCTATTATATCTAAGAAGGCATATCCCGTTTTTAAAGATAATTCTTTAACTGGGAATTCTGGCAGAAATATCGACTGGGAACGTGAAACTGGCCATACTGTCTTGGAAGATCCATGAATATCCTGCGCAGCGCTTCTGGTCCAACTAAAATAAATGAGTATAAATTCAGTTCTTCCACTCACAATATTTAAAATGTACGGAAATCTGTTATCAAAGACCAAGTACGACATAAATTATTGCTAAATTGCGTTACCTTCTGTAAGAAGCACGGGACCATGATCTCCCCTCCTCGTTGGAAGCCTGTGCTATTACATTGTTGACGCAGCTTCCACCGAGCAAATCACTGAGGCTGTACTGTAAATTAATAACATTATATTTTTAATGGGAAATACATATATTTTATTATAACGCGATACACAAACGCGACACTTTTAACAGAACACAATAAACATTTTGTTATAGGTTATAGGTTAGGATATGGATCTAAACTGTTTAAAACAATACCCACCTGACTATCATACTTCTGTTGATTATGATTGCTCTTCTTGGCGTTAGAGTTGCCCATCCAAGTGACAGTGTCTCGATCGATCGTCGATCTTCTCAAACGACGGACAAGCGACGATTCAAATGCGGCGCTTCTCGATACGTCATTCTGCTGTCAAATTATCTGAAATTAATTAAACACCGCCATATTCATTCGCGCGTATATCGTACTGTCATCAAGCATATGTAAATACGCACGGCGTGGCGCTTATCGACATTATCGTTATCCCACACGCCAGTCCGGCTCGATTACGAATAAAATTATTAATCAGCGTAAGAAATTAAGATACAGTGTCCAGAATTATCGAACACACGGCGTACCGCCCAGCGCAAATTATGTAATAGCAAACCAACAAACTTACTACGCAATGCAAATCGTTGAAAATTATGCAAGATTTTATTTACAGTGTCACGATCATGCGACGATCATGCGCGGTACTCAAGTGACGCCCAAAGTCGGCGAATCACGTGTGAAAACGGAGTCGCGATTGTCGCGTAGCGCTTTCAAATATCTTACGCATACAATCTCGTTAGGACGTTTTATATAATAACGTGTATTCAACCGAGTACATACGCAGGTGTTAAAATTTAAATGTACTCCTCCGCGAACGGCGACGTCGCGATGATGAATCTCGGAGCACGGATTCGCATATATTAGGCTTGTTCGCGTTGCTTGAAATCCCCAAACATTTTTGCACTTGAAATGAGATAAATATATATTCGGCCGTTGGAGAGAGAGAAAGCGAAGATGCTGAGTGCAAAAAGTGCAAGCAACGCGAACAGACCCATTGTAAAAGCGCGAAACGCGTCCGCGGACTTGCGCGGTAAGCGCGGTTGGACGGTAGTAATTACATGCGCAAAATATTTGTCGAAGATCTTCCGGATCTCCTTCGCACGCGAGATAATCATAAGCAGAAACCGCGCAACGTCATGTCGCAAATGATGCTCCACCCCTTTTGCAATCTTTACATAATTATCGCGAAACTTACCGGAGGAAAGAAGTCGCCGCAATCGTTCCTCTCGCAAGCGCACGGACGCCCGTCTGAAACGGTATCGGTGGCGGCACCTCTCGGCGGAGGCGCGAACTCTTTAATTGCCCGGGACGGTTTGTCGGTAAAAGGATATCGACGCGCGAAAACGCCGTGACATCAGCGCGCTCATTACCGTCCGTCCACGTGACGCTAGCCGCTGGCTGCGCCGCCTGTGCATGTTGCGTGCGACTTTTGCGGGACCAACCGTGTGTGCGCGATTGATCCCGTGGTGTCAAAAAATCGTGCGGGTTTTCGGGGGCGATTTTTTTTTGTGCGTATGCCGTCCGCAGCCGCGGCCCGAGCCCGAGATACTTGTATGTCAGACCCGCGTCGGCGTTGAGCGCGCGATCTAATTATGATCAAATTATTCTCGTTGAAACAAGCGAAAAAAGATGGCGAGTCACCCAAGGCTGGCACCCAGAAGAAGGCGTCCGCGGCACAGCTGAGGATCACAAAAGGTTCGGAGCGCCCCGTCCGGAGCGCGTCGTCCCACCTCCGCCCCCCGTTTGCTTCCTCTCACCTGGCGTTTACCCTTTTTGCTTCCAGACATAAACGAGCTCAATCTCCCGAAAACGTGCGGCACCGAATTCCCGGATCCCGACGATTTGCTAAGCTTTAAATTAATTATCTGTCCAGATGAAGTGAGTAAATACACGTCTGAAGCCCCTTACGGCTATTACGGTTGATCGGGTCACTGTCACTTTTGTTGTCTTGTCGGAAATCTGGAGCGTTTTCAGCGTCGACAGTCGACAAACAGCTCCTATCAACATTGACAGTGGTTTTCGTGGTGCTTCAAAGATTTGACGGTTTATTAATTGTTTCAGGGATTTTATAAAGGTGGTAGGTTCGTATTTAGTTTCAAAGTCGGGCCCAATTACCCGCATGAGCCACCTAAGGTGAAGTGCGAGACTCAGGTTTATCATCCTAATATCGATTTGGATGGCAATGTGTGCCTCAATATTTTGAGAGAAGACTGGAAGCCTGTACTCACGATCAATTCCATCGTCTACGGCCTCCAGTATCTCTTTCTGGTAGGTTTAATTCTGTCATTTCTGATACTCTTTTCTAATTTGTGATGTTTTTCGCATGAAAACTATATTGCTACAATTTATATCGTATGAGAGAAATTCTAAAATTTATAAATACGCATATATGTGTGTGTATGTACCTAACGTTGTATGAGATTCTTATTAATAGCAAAATTCATACATAGAACTTGCATTTTCAATGTAATAATATTTCTAATATCTATAAGTATGATCCAATTCTTTTATTGGAGTTGAGAGGAATAAATGTTTTGACAGGAACCAAATCCTGAGGACCCGTTAAATAAGGACGCGGCTGAAGTTCTACAAAACAACAGAAGGGCTTTCGAACAAAATGTAGCGAAAGCGATGCGGGGTGGTTACGTAGGATCCTATTATTTTGAACGGTGTCTCAAGTGATACAGTGCCTCGCCGTCAATACTGTACACGCTTCTCCAAGGACTCACTGTAGGTGAAGAGATCCTAAACTATGGAATGAACGTAGGACCGCACGGTGTCCTCGTTATCACTTGCGTGATAACATTAACATATTTACTTTCTTTATGTCTTGCCAGGCCTATATACATTTAATTGAAAAAATATTTTTTTCTTTTGTTAGTCGATCCAGGGTGAATTGAATTCATCGTTCACTGTTTTCGATGATTACCAAAAATGTTTATTGGCCGTGGCATTATTTTAGTGAATTTGAAGTGCAGTGTTGAAGGGATCGTAGAATTATAGTTTGACATTTGGCAGATAATAGATGTTACGATGTGATATATTTGATTGTGTTACACGTAACGATTCTGGACCCGAAATTGGGTTGTTTCTGGATCCTGAATTTTTAAACCTGTTTTGTGTTTTTATAGATACCTTAATTTATGAAATATTTATTTTCTAGGAGGCATAACCCATTTTCGTATTAATTTTTCACCGTAGCATCTATCAAAATCTGCTTCTCTCATTTAAATGTATGTACAAGTAACTTATGTATTGACTGAGAATGGAATATAAGGCTGTTACAAAACTGCAAAATGTTTCGTTTGGATTTTCGCAGACAGCATATTTTTACACCCGACAGAACAGGTCTCTTTCTAGAATGCGTAAAAATAACTATGGATGTCTTTTTATGAAACAAGTTCGAATTTATTTCACACTAAGCGAGGAAATCGGCTTGCTTTATGTACAAGTACAAGTACCTTATAGCAGTCGCTAACAATTATGAGATTACAATACAATCGTGAGATTTGTTATGCTACAAAATTTAATTTATTATACTCCATAATTACTAGAAATGTTGGAAAGTGTATTTTGAACGTCACGCTTGTACAGAGTCTATATAAAATAATTGAGCATATCTCAATGTAGTTTAGAAAAATTGATACATGCAAGAATCACAGAAATACTTATATAACAAAGTGTGTTGAAATGTGCCACCGATACTTCTTTCTGCTATTTGCTCTTGTATTGATGTATAAATCGGAATATTTAGGTAACATCGTATATATATCTCTCCAATCTGTATGCATTTTGGAATTCATAATAGTAAAATGTGTACAAGCGTTGGTGAAAGTAAGAAAAAATAATCATGAGATCAATTATATCTATAAAACTATTTACGAAAAGATAATTTTTTATTTATCTTAATTACAAATCATGTAACAAAATTTAACTTTACTATCCTTTCTAAACTTTAATTTATTTTTAAAATAATGTACGATTGTGAATTCCAAATTACTGTACGATTGCGTATAATTTTGTTGTTTACTAAATATATTTAGACAGATGTAAGAGAGAGCTAAATGCTAATTCACAAAACATATTGTAAACTCCAGAAATAAAGGTCTTGGATAAATAAATAAATGACAGATACAATAGAAACTACATTTTCAGTTTAATAATGAAGTTTCTATAAACTTCATCCATATATTAAAGCACCAGTATAGTTATCTTACCTCTTATCAGTTTATACAATATCAAGACTTATGCGTATATGTGAATTTATTATAAGATTCGTCGCCGCTACGATTATTTATAATTTATTTTTATTCATTATATAAAAACTACGGAGAGAATATGTGTGTGGTAAATATTCATTACAAAGAAGTTACGGCTCGTATCCTAAAGAGCAAAGGAACAGCTTTTTCGTCTCTTCTCTCTATCAATTAATTTATTATTCTTTAGTACAGTACTTATAGAACTTATAAACTAGAGAAGTGTCCTGGCCTCACTCCGACCTACAGCTTATTCTGCTGTATTCTTTAATTTAGGTCCCATCTGCGCGTCAACGTCTCAAGGCACTTTTTTTTTAAATATTTTTGTTTGAAAACTGACGCAATCAATAAACTTTTCCTCGTTTCATGCAAAGATTTTTTAACCGTACCAAATGATGGGTCGCGAGTTCGGATCACAGCGCGAAGAGCGATGGTATCTTTTATTTGATTGCGTCGTATTGTTTATGAAATAGATACGATACTAAAAATCGTTTTTATTCTATACATATATATCTGATAAACACTGCAAGAAATTAATAATTATAATTTTAAGCGAGCCAATCTAAAAGCAGGGCACTGCAAGAGAAAATTATAAGAAATGTGCAATTTATTCAAGTATGACTAATAACGTTGGAAAAATGATCGCTTAACATCACATATACATACCAAAAATCTTTCTTCTATTATTTATATACCATTTTATCAATTAGAAGTATTGTGTAACATATTGATCATAACTATGTAATTTTTCCTAATATTTGAAACAATTTGAATTATTCTGTTACATGCAAAGTATCCCTGGCTTTCTGAAACTCGAAAGAGACGTGCGCATTATATATAACAGATATTTTAAAAGTATTGAGCAATAATACACATACATTTATATATATCCTTGACTTATATTATTGATATAGTTTTATATCGTTAGACTTTAATTAACTTTAAACGAAGTTAATTTATCTTATATCATTTCTCTTCTATGCTATCCGCTGTATTTTTGCATGCACCCTGTACACAGAACTTTTAATAGGAAAACTGAATTTGGATTAAAATTATTACACAGCAATTTCTTGCAGCTTTATATGAAAAACAGATAAGCCTTGCATTCGATAAACATAATAAAAGTTTGGTCGAGTATATATCATAAAAAAGCATATATCCTTATCAACAAAATGCTGATAATCTAGTTTCACTACCAAATAACACTTTTAGTACAAACTGTTGAACTTAAATACAAGATCACAATTTATATTCTGAAGCAACCACGTAATTGACAAATGTCCTTTTGCATTCTGATATAAAAAGCACTCTCTTGTGCAGTAATCATTTCACTAACCACAGCACAGAACACCTCTTCTTTGTACGCCTTTATCATTTTGGGCTCTGATATTTATAGTTAATTTCTGCTCCGAGTTCGTTCTACGTAATTACAATACCTCGTGAAAGAAAGAGCTCTTCTTAGATTTGTCGTGTTTTTGTTAATATCTTTTATAATACAATATGGATATTAGTTTACAAGACCTAAGATGGTAAACACTTTGTTACACTTACAGAAACTATTCAAAGTGCTTTGTTAAACCATTGGATGCGGCTCCATCTTTCAGGGTACAGTTTGGACAGCGTAAAACATGGCAGAACTTATCTTTTTCAAAATAAAGCTGTGCTGGGATTTATGTAAAGTGATCGGTAACTGCAGAAAGAAATGTTTGACCATATATAATACAATATACATTTAAACAAAGACTTGAAAAAAGAAAACAGTGTTTATTTAAAAATCTAAATTACTCTTATCTAAATATTTTCTACTAGGTAAACACAGTTTTGCAAATTACGCCTAGTAGCCTTGACAAGTTACATTTTTCTTTTTTCAGCAAGATAGCAATTCGCAAATAGATCTGGAGAGCGTGATGTTTTATCGAACTAATTGTTAATAACATCAAATAATATAGTTTATACACACACTCGAAAGTTTTCTTTTGATATATTTATACCAACAATTTAACATAATTTTTGTAACATATATTTATAGACTAAGCGATTTCCTTTTTGCTAAAACAGGTTGAGCCAATTAACTGCCAAATAACTAAATCTACATTTTATGAGAATATATATATATATATATCTAGCAAGCTATGCTAGAATTTTCTTAACCAAAGATATTCTGAAAGTAAAATTTTTCAATAGTCAAAATAAATTTCAAATTGTCAAGAAAACTTGTTATAGCTTGCTAGACACGGATTATGTCACTTGAATCAAAAATTCAATTGTTATACATAATAAATGTGTAGAAAGAAATATACATTTTCACATGATTAAGAAGTAAATTTGCTGTCTCAAAACAGTAGTAAAATAAAACCGAACAAGACTAATTTTATAAAGATAAAATTTTAATGTTATCATATTAAAGCAAGACTGTTGAATTGCCTTAGTAATGTACAATTAGTTTACAGAAAAATAGTAAATAGGAAATGCGTCACATTTTCAAAATGGTCATATAGTGATGATCACGTGCTACAAATGTCTGATCCAGATTCTGTATAATTTGTTTACTTACTTAATCTAAAATTGAAATGATTACAAGTCTTTATCGACTTAAAGGTGTTCCACCGAAGTTAAACGAAGTGGGCACAGTCTGTGAGTGAAAGACATATCCTAGAAAATTTAGAAGGATTATAGATTCACATAGATAAAATAATGAAATTAAAATTAAAAAAATATATAGATTAACTCATATATCAATCGAGAAGTTCTCGTTAAAAGCAGTATGAATTTACCTCCGCTCTGCTCGATCCTTTTACTTTCTAAAGCTGCTTTACGCTGATCTGCCAAAAGAATAATTTCTTGCAGAGCTTTTTCTTGCTCAGGGCTTAGAAGACTTGTTAAGGCCCTGTACCAAGTCACGTCGGTTCTTTCAATATCTAGTTGAAGATAAGAAATACATGAATTGTAGATTTTAATGTGTATCTTGAAATTTATCTCGTAGATATTTACTTTGTATGACTTCCTTGAAGACAACATATTCATCTTGATTGGAATCATCTGAATCCAAGGGTGTGGTATAGCTTTCGAGAGCAGTCTCTTCGTTACCGTCGTATTCTGAATCGTCATCATCGTCATCTGATCTATGATCACCGTGACCATCTTGAATATTTGCATTAACGTTAAAGCCATGTTGAGCGGACGTTCGAGTTATCTTATCTTGTAATTTCTCAAGATATTCTTGATTGGCATCGTCAATATCGTCCTCGTCAGATGATAAAACCTCTGAAAATCATCATATTTAATTAGCTCATCATATTATCATTTATATACGAAGCACTCACCTTCGTCAATATCACTTTCCTCGTCATCGTTCTCGTCATCGTCTCCGTCCGTGACTTTAGCAGCATACGCTCTCTTCAAACCTTCGAATAGCAAGATTAAGGATGGAATAATCTGCGTTGCGCATTCATTAACGGCAGGTGGTCTTGCAGGACCCATACTGATTAATGTACACAGTCCAAGAACACACAATTTACGATCGTGCAAGCTGTGGAGAGAAATCACGCAATTCGTTGTTACAAATACAAAAATTAATATTCTAAACTTTTGTATTTTATATTAATAATTTCGCACTAGAATGTTTTATATGATAAAAATACATACCCCAAAAAGCAATCAGTATCATTGATCCATTGTTTGATAAAACGAGAAGCGAGTGGCTCTGTCGACTGATCGAAGTTTCCTTGCAAACTGTCCATTGTTTGAAGGCAAAGGGCAGGATTATAATATAAAGCGGCAATGACCACTTGAAGACACATCGTTCGCAACTCTGAAGTTTTAACTTCGCGCATTAGGCGCTCGAGGACTAATTGCACAAGTGATGGTATACACTGAAATTGAATCGTTTTTCATTCGTATTACGTCGTACTATTTCATAGATCATAATTAGATTCATTTGCATGTGCAATTGTATTTTCTACGGATATTACGTAACATTACCTGATCTATATGTCCTTTACATTGCAAAATTATGACTTCTAGTAACTTGGCAGCATGACACTCTGGATCTTCACCACCCTCGCCAGTTAAGACCTATAACATAAAAAATAGTAGCTTGTTTAGAAAATAATAATACTGGGGATTGTATAGACAGAATCTTCCCTTAAAATACTTACAGCTTTACACATATTGAACATCGCAACAATGTAATTTTCATTCGATAAAAACGCCTGAGTATCGACGGTGATATAATTATGTAATGCGGGCATCATGTCAGTGAAATAGTCAAAGCCGTCTTTTTGGAAGAGTTGATACATGAGTTCCAGGACTTTCCACATGTCTTCAGATATGCCTTTACCCGTTAAGTCGTAAACTAGCGATAACGCTTCTTCATAAAATTCTGATTAAGAAAAAAAATTCCATTTTTCTTAGTATGCTCTTAATATAATAATAAATATATTAGAGAAGTGTATACCATGTATTACAAAAAAAAATATTATATAAGTGATAAGTAAATGTTATTAATATATATAAAATCCAAGATTACTTGGTGTAAATTCATAATTGAAAGTTAAATACACAAAAAAATAGAACAGTATTCTTTTTACATTCAAAATAGAAATTTGAACGTTAAAGAACATACCCATTACGCTGTGTCCAAAGATGTGAGCTACTACTTGGAGGACAATCGGTTCAAGTTGCAGCATAATTTGTGGCTGTGCTTCCATTACTGTTAACAATGTTTCTATTGTGTTCAAGAGGCCCATCGCTGTTATTGCCTTCTCGTCGCTACCTTCATCTGTTTCAAGCACTTGGCTAAATGTAGCAGCCTGGATAAAGAATACATAACATATGTTATCATACAGCACAATAACATTCTACTTTATTCACATAATTCTTCTCGAAATATTACATGCAAATGTCTTACCAAATGCTGACAAACTTCTACAGCGATTGGAATTAGTTGCTCAGTGTATGTACAGACGATCTTCTGCATAACACTTGTCAGATCATCGTTTTCAGTTTGCCTTATAATATTCAGCAATTCTAGTGTTATCTGTTTAATTAACGGTTCGATGTACTTCTGAGCCTTCGGTTGTGCCGAAAGCACCATCTGCAGCGCTATGGCAGCTTCGACTTTAACAGGCAAATCTTGATCCGTCAGAAGAGCATTTGTAATTAACCTGACGGCGTCAACTAAAATTTGTTCCGATTTAAATTTAATTTCCGAAAAGTAATGCATCACCCAGCAAGCCTGAAAGCATAGTCATTGTTACAGCATGAAAAATTGATAAATATTTTATCATTATCATATTATTATGTAATGTATTACATAATAATGATAATTCTAGTAATAATTTTATTTACTCTCGCTCGCATATGTCCATGGGGACTACTGAATTCCGGAAATACGTATTGCAGTAACATTTTATCCATTTGTTCCTTGTAAATCTTCTTCTTCAACAAAACATCGGCCAAACTTCCAATCTAAATAAAATATAATTTTATGTATTACATTAACGATAAATAAAACACATGTGCAAAAATAATAAAAAATTATTAAAGTAGCCACATAAAAAAATTCAGGTAGCAAACACGTTTTTTATTCATAAACGCACCATATGTAATGCACCATCTTTTTGTCTTGGATCTGCATCTCGACTAGTTAAAACCTCCAGGCAAAATTGCATCGTTTTTTGTAGCATATCTTTTCGTTTTCTACACGCCGAGTGCAACAAAGTTTGTGCTGCCGTTACCGGCGATACAAAGTCTTCGAAAATATCTGAAAACACATTGGTAAGTAAAGTTCTCCACATTTAGGCCAATGCGCTTCAATATCAACTTGAATTTACCAAATTTCACTCTGATGTATTCGTATGGGTCAGTGTTCCACAGTTCCTCATCAGCGGCGGAATACGAGAGAATGGGGAATAAAACATCGCGTATAATTTCAAACATATGAGGCTTCAAAAATTTCCAAGAGTACGCATGGCTCACACTAGAATTTCAAAAAAATTGTCACGTTTATTAAACCTTGTGGAACCTGATGAAACTTGGATTTATTAACATATAGATAGATCTTTACCCCTGATTGATGTAATTGATTGATTGCTGTATCACTCTAGGAGAGATATAAATTTTTCTACGATATTGATCCAAGATCCTTAGAAGCACTTCGAGAATACCGGCACTGAAGGTTTGCAAGTACCATTCAGCGAATTCTTTATACTCTTTGGTCACATTTCCCGGACTACCATATCTGTAATTAACAATGCCAAATCAGAATGTAAATATCTCTACACTTTCGTTAATTTTCACCGTCAGTTTCGACCGTCACTAATGACTTTAATTACCTCTCAAACATTCTGTGCAAAATATGCAACGCCCATTTTTTACATTTCCACCAAGGCAGTTCCGCGCGTTCGTCATCATCAAGATCTGGATTATTAGTCTCTGGCGGTACCGGTCTATCGGCTATTTGTCTTACCACGTCCATCCATTGTGAAAATACATTTTGCGAAATAAGATCAAGGGGAAGTGTGTACTGTAAGGATAATCATAAAGTTTCAAGATATTTTCCGACTGATATATTATTTTTGCTTCCTCATAGAGGAAGCTTTGTGTTTTATCTATAATTCTTGTATACCTGTGTAAGTGCAAAAAAAATTTTCAATATCTGTTTCTGAAGTAGAACAGATTGCTCAGATGAATCTGGCAATAACCGTACTATCAATGAATAGATCATAGGGAATAACAAGTTCATTGCTTCATTTAATGGTCCCCTCTCTTCTGCTTTCTTGTACCTAGTCATCAGAACAAAGGCGTCGAAGCATTATAAAATCATTTCCTACATAACAGACCACCAAAGGTATACTAATGAACAAACATACTCGAAATTTTTAACAAGCTGATGCAGCGCGAGGAGAACGCCAGGCCAACACGAAGCATCTGAATTTTGAAGGTATATCGTAATTTTGTCCACTATTTGTGTCCACCGTCCAGGAAAGTCGTATTTAACTATGTTACTGATGCATACCGCTAGTTGTATTCTAAACATATAATACAGATACGCTATGGTAATTTTAATATATACATTTTATATTAATATATCTATTTTTATAATATATATATCTATATTTTTTATTGACAATATGAGTGGGATTGCAACTTGCCTAATTAAGTCTGGGGCATGTACCACGGCATCTACTATGGCATCGCGTATCATTGCACGATCTTGCTCATGAATACTAAATTCTATGGGTCCAGTGTCAGTGTCCTTATCGGCCCAATTTGAAGTCTTCCAATTTTATAGATAAATTACACCTACAAAAACAAGGAAATAAATCGTGCCTCCTGATTTCCTTTGTCTTCGGTGCTGTTACACAACAAATAAATATTTACCGGCTTGTCTGACGGGCATATCGACTTCGTTTGACATTACTACCTGCAGGAGAGTTGGTGCAAAACCAATAATTTTGTGAATCTGAAAAATTTAAGTACACATCGTATTGCCTTACTGCTTATGATAATTATTGTTGCATTATCATTATTGCTCCGATATTACCGCAATAACTTTTATTCTGAGCTCAAGATAAACTTACGGAAAATATAGAGAATGAATAGATAGCGTATGTTATACATATATATATCAAAAATATATATGTAAAAGTAATATGATAGCGATATGTAAATGACAAAATTACAGGCCATGTTGGAACAATTTCGCTGGATGGTACGACGTGTTGGCACGCAACGTATAAAAATATACGAAACGATCTTGAGAACCATGTTCCAAACGTGATCGGGGGGTCAAAGGCGCGCCACGAGAGTAAATCTCTCGCGCCTCGCGAGGAGAGGTTAGCGAGTGCGAGCTGCGCGAGAAGCGGGGTCCGCGTGTCGCACGACCGGAGCGAGCGGGCGCACGTCCGAGAGTCGGACAAAGGGTTCCCGTTCCCCCTCGCGGGCCTTCCTCGTCGGGGCCGAGATCGTCGCGCGCGGGCCGCTTCACGCATAGACGAGAATCGGCGTCCGCGAGAAGAGGAGAGCCCCCCCTCCTCCCTGCGGCGGCGGGAACGGTGGTAAGCACGCCGGCATTATCCTCGGCAAGGACGCGTCCCGCGATTTCGCGCACATGGGCGAAGGGCGGGAGGGCCCCGTGCGCGAGGGTACGGGGCCCACGGGACGGGTCACGGGGCCCCACATGTTTTCCGAGATGCTCTCGGAAGGTCGTTCTGTTGCCCCCTGCCCCCTCCCACCCTCTCGCCGGGCGAAATCGCGCCGAGCACGTTTTTCCCTCGATCCGACTCCGCGAATCCCTCGAGTCCGTCGCGCGCCTACCTGGGTGAGCTGCCCCTCCGCCTCCTTCTGCTGCGCGGGGTCGATCGTCGCCCGCAGCAGCTCCGTGAGCTTACGCGCGTCCATCGCTCCGGGGGCTGCCTCAGCTCGCCTCGTATTAATTAGACGCCTGAATTTTTGCGATCGACTCTCCCAGCACCGGACTTGACCCGGCGCATTCACCTCACACTGCTCTGCTCCTTGCCTCACTCGCCTGCCTCCTGCCTGCCTGCCCCGTGCGGTCACGTGACACAACAACATGGCGGCGTGGATTGGCTTTTGAATCGTCGCATCCGGTCGCGGGGCATGCGGCTCGCGTGAGATGCGATCCCGCGACGGCGCGAGCGCGCCGTCACGCGATGGATATCGCCCTAAGCATGAAGAATTGGTGGCCAATGGCCGCGTTCAGCAGATACAACTGTTGAGTTCGTCTTATCAACACTATGCGTTGATTGGTTGGTTCTAAAAGTAAGAGCCAATCACGTTCGACTGCTACTCAGCGGCTTGGTCTGCTGAACGCGACCAATCACAGTTCATTATTGGCCGCGTTCAGCAGACACAACTGTTGAGTTCGTCTTATCAACACTCTGCGTTGATTCGTTGGTTCTAAAAGTAAGAGCCAATCACGTTCGACTGCTACTGAGCGGCTTGGTCTGCTGAACGCGGCCATTCTTCGACCGCAAGAACAATGAATTGTGATTGGTCAATTCTTACGACTCACGACTTACAGGGAGCACACACTTCTGCATAACGCATATTGCGTAAGCATAAGAAAATTGATTGGTCTATTTTCTTATGCACATGTGTATGGACCAATCAATTTTCTTATGCTTACGCATTATGCGTTGTGCAGAAGTGTGTGTCCGGGCCCTTACAACACCCATTGTAGACCTAAGGACTCTTTGCGGCGACCTTGATTAAATCCCGATTAACTTTAATCGCCAATTAATCGGCGGAGCCGCTTGAAACAAAATTTTTACCTATGTAACTTTATTTCCGATCTAATCCTTTTTTCACATTTTGAACAATGAAAAATCAAAATACGGGCATTGTTTGACAAGTGATCGGAGGTTGAGAACCCTCACTTATCTTTCACTTTCGTTGCTTCCGCACTTATCTGTACTCGTGTCTAATTTAAGGTTTGCTTTTTGTGGCTGCACCACGTTGCATTCGCTGCACTTAGAGCGAAATAGGCGTACAAACCAGACGTTAGAAAGAAAAAGAGGAAAGGAGGGAAGAGTACGAGAAGTTTGGGCTGAAAAATGAGCCTTCGAAAGATGATGGTTCGCATCCACGTGTGATTGGTCGGTTTTCACACGTTCGTCTACGGACCGCCTTGTTAACCAGATTCGTTCTCTTTTTCCAGTCGCGTCGCGGTTAAACTTCTCGCGCTTGAAATGAAATGAGTGCGTAGGCATCGAGGAGGAAAAAAAGAGAGGCTGTCCAGCTGGAAGGAAAGCCAAGACCGGATCGATAAAGAATCCAGTTTATCAAGCAGAGTGATCATCGACACTTGGTCGGCGCGGGCGGCGGGTCCGTGCGCCTTTCGCTCGAGCGCGAAAAGAATATCGATATCGCGCACGGATCCACACCACGGTTGACAGGACAGCGCGGAATTAGGAACGTGCGAACGGGGGCACCGTCGTGTAGGGCACCGCATGAGAATCCGCCCAGGCGTCGTGCTGCCGCGCAGCAATGCACCGACAAACTAAATAATCGACGTCAAAAGCTGTCAAATATGGCGAGGGGCAGCGAGAAAGAGAGAGAGAGAGAGGGAGAGCGGTAATTGACATGTAAAAATGTGAATGGCCCCGCCGCGGCCCGCACTGTGATCCGTGCTTCGATCGGGTGGGTGGGTCGCGCGCTCGTGGCTCGTGGCCGAGACACGCTCGCGGAGTCCTCGCGCGGATCAGGTCTACGCCAACGACGACGACGACGACGACGATCGACGACGATGTCGGGCCCGTCGCCGGCGCCTGCCGAGTGCCGGAAGTGAAGTGGCCGGAGTGGCCCCCGCGCGGCGAGGGTGGCCGGAGCCGGACGGTGCGACTGGGCCCAGCGCGACGTGGGGCATGGTACGGTAATCGGCGGGCGATACGCTATGGGCGCCCAGCAGACCAAGGACAGGGTGATACCCGCCGGGTCCACCGTGCGGCAGACGCGCAAGCAGCCCAGGAACCTCAAGGATACGCGCGTCATAGGCTCTAACATATTCACCGAGCACAGCGGTGAGAACACGCACGCTAACGTCCGTCCACCTTGCTCTCCACCTCCGGGTCGAGGGACTCTCACACACGTTCCACCGGCTGTTCCGTTGACGCACGAGACGGCTCCGTGACTCACGGTGGAACTGGCATGCTTTCCCTGTGCTTGGCGTGTTTGTCATAGCTGTGCTTTCATGACTTGACACAATACAATGTCGCGATACCTTGTAGTAGCGATGATAAGAGAGTAGTATTTGGAAAGAATCTTGTTTCACGATAACGCTTTCTGAATCTGTAGTCAGTGTAAATTGATGTCTATATTGGCACACATGTCGCTGAGTTAGTACGGACATTAGTGGCTAAATTGAAGGTTTTGCAATACCCAAGCATGCGTATATATCTGTCGTAAGAAAAGAGACACAAATTAAAAGTTACCTGCATGAGATTCCATACAAATGTGACTAGTTAATTATTCTCATTGTATGTTAAATATCTTGAATGTAATTATGAGGTTTTCCAATATCTTGCATCGTTACATAAGCAAAGATCTGCCTTGAGATTCAGTATCGGATATCTTCCTTCTGGTACATTGAAGGTTACAAATAGGATCTTTTTCTATTTTTTT